TATTTATAAAGCAATTATATGTATATGTACATGTAGTACTGTACACATGTATATAACATAATTCACATAGAATTTGCATATATAATGTGATTGCAACAAAAATGTCCCTATGAAACATATAATAAATTTCTATGTATCAATCAGTCCAATATGTTTTCAAACATATATGTAAGATAAAAATATATGCAATTCATATGTGTAATAGGAACATACATATAACATATAATTAATGTATATGTAGGAAACAAGTCACTATGTATGCAAACATATATTTAAGACAAATATATATAAAACTTATATGTCACATATACTTCACATACATTCTGCATATATATTATGTATGCAACATATAATTTTGTAGTACCTGGGATAACTCTACAGACAAAAAAAATTTAAAACATTAATCAATAAATAATATTATTAATAATTTAATAATTTTACAAATTGGTGAAGAAACTGTCAATAAATTATTATTTTTTTAATTCATAATATTGTGCTCAATATGACGTGTGACAGCTAAAATGTTCCACCATTCACCAAATGTCAGTAAAAATACATGCAATATATTTCTTGAGAGATATAATACCTGGAGAATCTTTATTAATATTCTTTCCTAAAAATGATTATAAAAAGAAACTTTTTAAAGGCAATACACAATGTATAAATACATTGTAATATATTATCAAAGCTTGTCATGTAAAACCAAATAAGAATATAAATACAATGTACATGTACATGTATTAAAATTATTATAATTATAATAACTTACTGATGTAATCAGCTACTATTTTCTCACCAATGTCCTCAAGAGAATAACACAGAGAAGCCATTGTTGGACCTCCTCTAACATCAACATCATCAGCTCTCTCTAACCATTGTACTAGACATTGCCTAAGACATTCTTGTACACCTTCAGCATACTCAGCCTCAATAGCCTCCAGTGTAGTAAAGTATAATCCTAAGGCATCACAAAGAGGTTTCCATTTTGTCTGTGAGAAGCCAGCTTCATCCAATGTGTTAAGTACATAATCTAAATCACCAGTGTCTAAGAAAGGGCCTATGGAGTAATAGAACATATATTAATTATTGAATTCATAAGGATGATTCACGGTATGCATCAATGGCCAGTTAAATTACTAATTATTAATACAATACTATATCATTATAATCAGTACTAGCATTGATTAGTGTAATGGGTGTGGTTATTAATACTAGACCACACCTAATCTGATCTGTCTTACCTTTTATCAATGTCCTTTTAATATTCAATGTATGATATCCAACCACACCTTTCATTGGTATAGTATAATGTAGTCTAGGAACAGCATCAGGTGTAGCACATACTGATACACTGCAGGAGGGAGGATCAAAATAGGGAGGCTGACCAAATTTATCAACATCACTTCTATATATCTATTGATATACACGCACATTAATTATACAGGATACACTGAAGTACTTACTCTACAAGGTACTGTGTGAGGTTTAATAATCCATCCTGTGGTTGGCTTAGCTTGTGGAGTATCAAACTTTAATTCAATATAATCACCTCTTGATGTAAATGTGGAGTCTTGCTGGGCAAATATAAACTTTGAGAAGGTACGTTGATCTAATTTAGCATGAGGATGCTTCCTTTTGATATACTGTAAATCAACACATTAAAACACATCATGTCGACAGTACACAATATACCTATCATACTTACAATGTAGTGTGTTTCTTCTTTAGCTACAGAAAATGTTGCTACATATTCATTTAAACCTTTCTCCTCATAAAATAACCATCCTCTACATTCAGTATCCCTTACTAAATGTCAATAAAGTGAATCAAACATTAACACTCTAGTCTCGTTATTGACACAAGAGCTAACCTGATCTCGAACCTGATCCCGGGCACTAGTGGCCATCTTGACAGTTCACTCCCACACAGAAACTAATTTGCTGATCACGTGACACAAACTTATCACAATAATGAATGATTTATTTTATGCAATTTTTTTGTCCTGGAAAGAAATAAACGCCCGGGCTTTTACTTGAACATTTATAAAATACACGCATAACATATCTTATGGTATTAAATAATAATAATAAATAATTGAATTAAATCATCAACCGTATGCATGAGATAGAGTATATCTTGAAGTGAAGTCACCCCATCTTTATTCAGCAACGGTACCAAACATGCTGAATCCTCTTGCTTCTTCAAAAGCAGAAAGAACCTCCTCTCCTTTCTCAAGGAGGGTGTGGCTTAAGTTACCCATTCACTTGAACCCAGTGAGAGTTTCCTACAGACAAAAGAGGAGGAGAAAGAGGAGGAGCTACAACGGACTGTGCCACATAGCAGTGGCGGATCTGGGTTCAAGTTAATGGTAGGGCCAGGAAGTGGGTGTGTCCACTTTTCAACCAGTTGTTTTATGGTTATGCATCTTTTGGCCATTTTTATGATGAGTTTCAACAATTTCCTCATCTATGCAGTGCTTAGAATGCTCTTGAAGCACTTGTAGGTACTCTGGTGTGGCTTGTGGTTGGCTTTATCAAAACTTGAGGCAGGGAATTGTTTACATTGCATCTAATGAATCTCATTACTGACTTCTGATGCCCGGGCCATGGCCCGTCTAGGCCCGGGCCCAGATCCGCCACTGCCACATAGTACTAACTGAAAACTGGATCCCTTCAACTTTAGCTATTGATCATAATAATTTTGATGAAACTGTACTGCATATTAAATGGACTTTAGAACCTTTGAAATAGTATATATAACAAAAAATTAATACGAACCATAAATACAATTTTGATGACATAATTGTCAAAATTTTCATTACTTATTTTTTTAAAAATTTTCCATGGCCCACGAGCCCAACATGCTCCCAACTTGATCTCATTACCAGTAAACACTCGCCAGTTCAGTGCCCCTCCCTCCTTCATTAGTATATTCCCCAGATGTTTTTCCGCCAAGGCCAGTCTATCAGCATCAGGATCATTAGCAATAATAACTAAATGACCATGAGCCTCAGCAGAAGATATTGAGAGGTCTTATTAATAATAATAATTATTATTATCAAAATATGTAATAAAAATTTGAAATGATTCTGGAGCCATTTTTCAGAAGAAAACCATGGGCTTTTACAGGGATTTTTAGATTTTGCTCCAATTCTTAAAATTATTATAACTCTAAAATTCAAGTCAAAATGGGGTCAAACTACATGTATCTACAGAGCACAAGGACATCAATACTTTCAAGATGATTAATTGTCAAGGAATTAAAATTAGCGATTGGCGGTTCTATGAAGAGAACGCCAATATACTGAGCATGCTCAATGATACTTGGTACAATATAAAATTTGCCAAATATTAATATTACCAATAAATAATTTTGTACGGTATGTATCAGAAAATATAATAAAATTTGAAGGGTGAATGTAACTTTAAAAATTAAAGTTGAAATCAGCTCAAGCTTTCTACACAGCATATAAGGTCATTAATACATGTAAGTATCAGAAAATGTGTAAAAATTAGTTCAGTTATTAATTATCTTACTAGTGCACTTTTTCCTTCTTCTGGGTATTCTGGATAAGCAACATTAGAAAAATCTGGATCAGGTTTAACCTATAAAACAATTTGAACACAATAATTAATAATTAACTAATCAATAATCACACTAACCCCTCCCCTATCCCTCACCTCTTCCTCCACCAGTATCATTTCTGGTAGTCCAAAAGCTTCAAAGGCCATTTCAACAAACAAATACCCCACACCATCCATAGCAGTATAGACACAGGTCACTGTTAACCTAAAGTTCTTTTGCTTCCGATAACAATACTTCTGTATTGTTAAGGGGTAGCTACTGTGTATCTTAAAATCAGAGTAGAGATCAATGATTAGGGAAATTCTGGTAATTTTTGAAATTCCCATGAGGTCGGACAGGGGATCAAGTTACATGTATTATAAAAGCATTGAGAAATTCCTTTATTATTATGAGGTAAAATAATCTACCAGGACAAAAGACAAAAAATAATAAATAATAATATATACATACTGGTTATTCAAATAATTATTACTATTAGCAGTTATTAATTAGTATTTACTAATAGTTATTATAATATCAGTTATTAATAGTTATTAGTAGTTATTAATTGTTGTTAATTACTTGACCAGTATACTTCACATCCATTGTCTTGTTAAAGATTGTGCGAAGCCATTACCACGATACCAGCAACATAGCTGTACCTCCTTAAAGCCATAGGCTATAAAAATAAATATTAATGAGCACATTAGCAACATAACGACTGAACCTAAAGAAACATAACCATGTAAACCAGTGACTATGTACATGTACATGAAGCCATACTAATGATACATCAAATGGGTTCTAGCATCATGTCACATGGCTAATAATGTCTTATTATAATAAAATTTATAAATTATGGGTATACATTAAGTTATATTCATATCCACAGTTCCTTTACATCTAATTAATAAAGTATTACCTCAATCGTGACTATTGTGTCTTGCATTGTACTAACAACTACACTCTGTTCCAAACACACCTCTTTTACAAACTGGACATTAAGTATTTAGAAAGTCCCTATACAAAATATTTAATATTAATAATTAATTAGTTACTAAAATACCATATAATAAGTGGTTTTTTTAAGGGAATTATATTTTGCAAAATCTACTAAAATTATAATTAGCTAATTTTTATTTCGCAAATCCTACCCCACGTGTGCCATGCATAACAGTATTAAATTGATTTTTGAGGATTTTATTTTTGTGAATCAGGAAGGAATCCATTAAATCCGCAAAATTTGCAGACTTTGAAAACAACACTTATACAGTATTAAGGTAATAAATTCTGAGCATAATTGAGCATAAAGTGATACACTTCGTTGTTTACAGCTGGAGTATGTTTAAGATACATTGTACATGTACATGTATATGTACTTACCCAAAAACTTAAGGAGCATGAATTTTCAACTCTTTAAATGTGTAATCAGTCTAAGGATATAAAAATAATAATAATAGTACTAATAATAAATAATAAGGACTAAAAATCAGAAATAATTATTGTAATGTACATGTACAGGACTAATAATGTATGGACATACCATCATCACCAATATAGACTGGTATACATTGCTAGTTCCTAATGTTGTCGAACTGAATGGTCTCTTGTAAGTCGGTTTACATACATCAGTTATCTTATCTACACCAACTCTTATGCTACTAGTACTTGATGGAGGCTCTGAACCAGTCTTATTAGTTACCCTTCCACACTGCTTTGACTTTCAGGAAGAGAGAGAGAGAGAGAGGAAAAGTAAGGGGGAGAGATAAAAAAAAGAATTATAAAAACACATTAAATAAAATTCACATCTTTTCCTAATGCTCTTCTCTATTCCTCTCTCTTCAACTTACATCAACATTCATTACAAGTACATGTACAATCATTCTTTACATTACACTCTACATGTGTAATTATGGATATTCATTATTGCTGACCGGTATCTACACACAGGTTCATAAATAACACAAGTACATGTACTAGTACAACAATACAGTACTATCATTGTCCATTACTGCCATTAATACATGTACATTAATATTATTATCAGTACTATCTTATTAATACAGTGAAGCGTATGCATATACATGTACATACATGCATGCATCACATACTATAATAGCAATGATGTGAAAGCTGCCAGACATGCCACTCACTGTTCAGTATTGGTAAATATTGATCAATTTGGGATTAATTAAATGGACAAAATGACAATTAATTATTAAAAAAAATAATAACAAATGGACAATTTATCACGTGAAGTCAGTTGGTGTGGCTACAAGAAATAAAAATAGTGGCTTCAGATGGGATGGACAATGTTTAAGACTTAAAAAAAAGCAATAAAGTAATCTCTAAGCATTCTAAATGTAACAACTATATGTAGTACGTGTCATTATAGCCTCACATCATTTTCATGCATTTTCATGGTGTTGTGCTATGTCTGTTAATATTAACAGTGAATAGGACAAATGTCTGGTAGCAAAATTTTGTTCCACATCTCTGCATACTGGTACAGTGTTACCTTGATAGTCCTTCTTTTTTATGTCACAGGGTTGCTTTTAATGAAATTGTTCAGGATAGTGATGAGTGGAATATTACCATCTCAGGGCAGACTGAACTGATGAGGCTTTAGCATACAAATCACAACTAAATGACTGGGAATGATCATTTAATACCTAATAGAGGGACGGAAAGAAAGAGAAAAATAAATGGAGGAAGAGGAAGAGTGAGAGAAATAAGGGAAGAAAAAGAGGAGTGAGAAAGGAGACTATAAAAGAGGAAGGTTGAATTGGGCGACTACTAACTTCTTGAGCAGCTGCAGACTATCCTCATATCAGCTTTCTCAGAGTCATTAGAATCAGCACTAACTGGCAACTCATCTGAAGAAATAGAGTAAAATTGTAGAAACAATTAAGAGAGTTAAACAGGAAAGGAGAGAAACACCATATAGCTTATACAGACACATTATTAATAGGTGATTTTCTAGAAAAAACACCATAACAAAACCAAGAATACATAATACCTAAATTACAACGTACTCTTGATAAAACCCATAATTTCCTTTTATTCTGAAAATGCTCAATGACACAAACCCCAAAACTACCGATATTATAACAACCACATTTGCAAATCCACTAATTACTAAATTTGTCAATATAATTCCCACTATTACTATTATTATTACTCTTAATGTCCATTACCAATGTAAGGAAGGTTCAAGTCCTCAGAGAGGAGGGATCCAGCACAGACGGTACCCAATGTGACCAGCTTCTTCTCCAACAATGGCAAACACTAAAACAAATTAGAACCAAGCTATCATATAATAGTGTAACAGCTATTATACCTGTACTAAACTGCCATTCATTTATGAACAAAAAGTATAATAAAGAAAGGTAAGCTACAATAACTATTAATAAACATTAATAACAGTTAGTAACCATTAATAACTTATGATAATCATTCATAACTAATAGTAGTATGTATATGCATACATGTATAATTTATGTGCATCAAAAATGCAACAAAAAATTTGGGATAATTTTGGAGCAATTTTTTATTGGGTGTTTTCAAAATGTTAGCATTTTAAAAAATGGCTGTAACTTGAAAATTAAAGTCAGAAACAGCTCAAACTTTCTACACAGCAAAACAATACCAAATTGTATTAGAAAATGTCTTGAGCCATTTTTTGGGAAAAACCCAAAGCTCCTTTTTTCTGAAAATTGGCTAACGTTTGAAAATAGTTGTAACTTGAAAAATTGAAGCTATTGGTGGAAGAAAACCAAGGCTTTAGGCTTTCAAAATGTTTTGTATTTTTCTAAATTGCTGTAACTTAAGTTAGTTACTTCAGTATTATTTTTATTTGATTCTTTAAAAATAATAATTTAATGTTATTTTAGTTGCATGTAATAGTAGTAACTAGTCTACTACCACAACTCCTGCACATTTTTGGTTGATGAGCAACTAAATTAGAGTATGTTTTTTAAATGTTTCCCATTACATACAGCATCATGTCTGACGTCATTAGTCAGGCTCTTCTAAATATTATAAAAGGAGTGAGAAGTAAACAGTAAACGATTGTTACAAAGAGGATAATAATGCTCTCTCTTCTTATACTAGCTATTGCTTGTCTCCCTCAGTTTATCAGTAGTTCTAATCTTGCTCTTACATTTGATGCTGCTAACAGTACCTGTACTGCAGCCTGTTCTACCTGCAGTGATGCCAGTAATACTGATACCAATCAATACATCACTGATGATGGACTATTGAATGAACTATTCAATACTACCATGAACAATGGTCAAGATATTCAAGAGATAATAAAAAATGGACGGTATTAGTCATTTCTTCTCTCTCTCATATCAAGGAGACTGCTACCTCTAATGCTGGAGCTATCAATGACTAGAACAAAAAAATTTAAAAAATTATTTAGTGTAGGGTTGAGCCTCTGTTGGATTTGAACCTATGAAATGAATTCAAACAAGCCCCTGTAGGGTTGCTGGTTTGAAAGTATAAAGTGAATTCAAACAAGCCCCTGTAGGGTTGTATCACCATTGAAACACCAACATGTCAACCCTACACTGCAGGTATGAAATGGCCTATAGCAGCACTGATGAGT